AGCTGCCAAAGTGTTGCCCCTGAAGTACAGTAAATGCATCTTTCTAGTGCTGCGACGACTAGGAAAGCCTCTGCAGACTGATGTGCAGCCTACACAGAAGCGCCGGAAGCTCGCGAGCTCAACCGTGGAGCATCAGGCCAAGGCTAGTGACATGGAGCCATCTTCGTTACACAAAGCTATAGAGGAGCTACGAGACGAGGCTAGGAAACCTATGTTACTTGCAACAGATGCCAAAAAATTGTTGGCAAAAGAAGCTATGCAAGGCGTGGTTTTGGGTCAAACGGCAACAAAGCTCAGCAGGAAGAAAGAAGTGAACAAGACGCCGCCTGTGAAATCGAGTTTGTCAACGTTGCTAAGCGGCGATGACTCAATGACGATAGACAACTCGGTAATAATTACCAAAACTGCAATAACAAGTACAACGGAACCCTTCAAGAAGGTGGAAACACCATCAACTCCTGTCAGTGGTATAAACATCTCCGTCTCATTGGTGCCTGACGCCAACAAGCTGGTGAGTTCACCGCCCAAAAAGACGTTAACTCAAGCCGAAACTGTAAGGAAGATGATGTTAATGAATACACCCTCAAAGATGGTTGATGCGACGAAAGAACCTGCAAGTGTTTCCGAAAAGACCTTGGCACCTTTCGACTCTGGCAAAAAATCAAAAACCCGTAAATCGGAGGCCGGCGTAAGCACAACAGACAAGCGAGCGTCCCTACCTGCCAAAATATCCTTGCCACGAAAAGCAGGGAAAACAGCAGCTCCCATTGAGGCTATCAAGAAACCCATGTCAATGGTGGAAACTAGTGAAAAATTGGAAACTAAACAGGCAGCACAGCCAGCAGCAGCGGTCCTTAACACTATCACCACCAGAAAATCCTTTCCACAGGCGCAAGCGAAAAAGTTGGAAGCAGTACTTGCAGCACCTGCAGCCAGCCCTAGCCTCGAGGATAAGGAAATGGGGGTGTCTGCAGCTACAGAAAAACTGTCTGATGCGAAGCCCGTTAACAAAATGGAATTGCGAAAAGTCGCAAACAAATCGTTTGGAAAATCCAAGTCAAAGGAATCGTTGGTAACAGCAGTGGAACAACCGCCTATTCCTTTAGCAACGAATCCCACGTCGGACTCCCGCGACTCGTCCAATGAGCGTACAAAGCGCTCTTCCCGCATGACAAAGTTATCGCTGACGAACTCAAAGACTTCGACACCGGTAACACGCGCCTGCAGTCAAATACGCTCCACGACTGCCACGCCAACGATTACGCCTACACAACAGCGCAATGCCTCCAACGAGCAACAGCAGCTGACATTGCCGCAACTGGTCGGGCAGCTGCCGCCAAAGCCGCAACGTCAATCCCGCAAGAGTCTCAAACTCGCCGTTGCTGAGCCTCAGGCGCCGCAGCCTCAGCCTCAGCCTCAGCCTGAGATCCCTAAGCTGGCGCTAGCTCCGCCATCGCGTAAACGCAAGCTCCCAGCTAAGCCCGTTACGGAGGTAGCGAATGCTAAGCGTCCGAAGGAGCTGCCAGTCATACCGGACACATCAATTGCGTTCCCAGTACGGATTACGGCTGCTTCCACTGTCACTGATACTGGCAGTGAAAAAGCGGTGCCTGTACCAGAAACGATTACTAAAGCACCAGCACCTCCAATAACATCGGAAAAGCCAGTGCAGAAACCCAAAGAGCTGCAACTAGCTCCACAGCCATTACCGCAGAAAACGCGAAAACTGCGCGTGCGTCTGAATCGGAACGTGATTAAAAACTGGGTTTTGGGTCTGCAAGAAATAGAGCCACCTCCAGAACCAAATCAAGCACAGCCAGTGGAGCCGCCAACAGCTATAGCTCCTATTTCCGAAACTGCTACAATTCCACCGGCGAAGGAAGCAGAGCCAGTTATAACTAGGGCCCAGCCGGTTGCACAAACGCAACTGCCCAAGGCCCCGGTTGTAAGGTCCATGCCCTTGCCAGTGCCGCTGCCAGTTCTGGAAGTAAAAGCGGAGCAAGTAGAAGTGGAAGAGCAGCAACAGATCTTGCCTCCAGAGGGAACGGTGCATATGGAGGTTGATGTACCCGTTCCAACTCTATCACAAGTTGCTGCCAACATTTCCTGCTCCGTAAACACCTGTGCGGCGGCTCCAACGCTTATTTCGATGGCGCCGACAACGCATGCAGATATTAATGTGCCCACCACCACGAACTGCAGCAGGAGCACCGCCATCAGCAGCACCACCGCTAGCAGCACGACCATCAGCAGCAACGCCACCAGCAGCACAATTCCTTCCGCTAACAGCTTAAGTGATCAGCACACGTTTGGTACCACGAAAATGTTTTCGTTTTTGTATCCGTCACGCTATCAGCGCTCCTACGGCCACGTGGGTCTTGATTTTTGCTGTCCAAACCTGGACGGGCCGATGCAGGCCATTGATCCGACGAGGCTGCACTCGAAAGTGGAGGTGCCGGTGCTGGAGCTGCCACAGTACATGGTTATCTCGACAAAGATCATCTCGAAGCAGGACAAGAATATACCGCAAAAGGTACGAGCCAAGCTCGAGCAGCTGGCGGCCAAGGATGCGTTACCCGGTGCAATCCAAACAACGGCGACATTGACGACAGCTTCCATAGCAACATCCACTGCGCCCGCAGCTACGCACGTACCCACTGCGCCGCCAAGTACGAGCAACATTGATCCGCTGCCCAAGCAGCAGCAGCCGCGTAACAGTAACTTAACAAAAAAAGTGAATTTGCCAAATGCTGCTGCAGCTACCCCTGGCACATCAGTGGCAAGCTCACAATCTGTGGCCAGCCTGGTTCCGGGAATGCTGCAGCTGCCGCCCATTTGCCCCACCGACAAGCTGCGCGTGGAGCTGCAGACACGCGTTCAGCTCTTCGATATAGTGCTGCAGAGTCTGGCCAGGCGAGCTACTTCAATGACCGTGTCGGAGCGGAAGCAGGTCATAGAGAGTATTGTTAGAACAAGCACACTGCTACCGATTGATGTGGATGTGGGCACCAAGCTTCTGGAGAACTATGTATATTATATAAATGCCATCACCAATACCATTTCTCCGCCCATGCCACAAATTCGCGCCGTTGTCAAGGCTGCTGCATCAACGCCCACCTCCACACCAGCCAGCACTAGTAACTCGGTGCTGGCTAAGGCATTGAATACAAGTCATGCTTCGCCAGCGGCAGGGGTAAACTCTCCACCAGTTGCAGCCGGTAGTGTGCGGCAGGCGGAATCAGCGCCAAGTTACAAGCCACCCGCCACCAGTCGGCCCATTTACGATAAGGACAAGAACATCATTGGTTATCAGTACAAAACGCCCAAGTTAACGTTAGGCTCAACGCCAGTGCGTGCTCCAGCAGCGAGCAGCACGCCACGTGGATCAACCGCCAGGGGCTCTCTGACAGCGGCGTCAGGAATAGGAACTCCAGCTGCAACCGTCACCCAACAGCAACGCACGCGGGTCCTAATGATGCCGGCTGGAGCCAACAGCAAGGTAAGTTTGCTGGCAATTCCAGTTTATACTCTTGCTGAGGGTATTATTATTTGATGACATCGCTGACCGCATAATCTATATATACACTTGATAAACCCATCTGTCTTTCTGTTTCTGTGCAAACTAATCTCATTGATTATATGCACAGTTGGACGCTAAAATGTGAGTTCAAATCCGATAACAGCAGGCTGTTAGGTATGGCAAACGAATTCGTTTGAAATGCACGCAGCTATCGGCCAATCGATATTTCAATGTACATATTCGATTATTCGGTACTGTTATGTCGCTTTTAGCGAACTTTTCGAGCTGTTAATTCAAGGGCAAGCGACAAATTAACTCTTTAAAACTTTGCGGGTAATGAAAAACTGATTTGTTATTCTATTCTATCTATTTCTCGCTGTGAGAAAAACAAGATAGGGCTACGAGGGGAGCATATTTTGCTAATAATTTAGGGAACCTTTTAAAATATTAGAAAATCTATATGAAATGTCAGCTCGGTGCAAGGTTCGGGGATTCTCGGTGACTCCCGATAAGAGCGAGCGCTATTGTCTGTTAAGATAAAATTCACAATTCTTACTTATTATTGTTACTTTCAGGTTGTCGGAGCTAGCTCGGCGGATACACCAGTTGAAGCTGCAAGCGTCGCGAAGAGAGTGGGGTCTGGCACCATTAATCCGTTTAACCCATCTCCAGCGCAGAAGACCTATGCACGTTCCACAAAGAGCTCAACGCACGTGGCGCCCGCAAATTTATCAAGAGACATAGCGACGCCCGTCGGCGTGGTGAATGGCGTGCCTGTACTGGGAACAAAAGGGGCATCTTCGCCTGCGTCGGCAGCACCCGCCAGTGCGAGCAAAGAGGCCGGATCTAATCGTAATCTGTTCATCGTCAACCAGGTCCTCTCGCAGACGGAGGAATGCATATTGCCAGATACGATTCGGGCGACGGATGCAGCTGCCGAGATAAAGGGCGAGGTGGAGGATGCGGAAATATTAACTTAAGCTAAAAATATTCAGTAAATACATAATTATAAACACAACATTAAACTATGAAAAGTATTTTAAGTTACTTTACCAAAAGCACGAAATCTACATTTCACACACACACAGAAAACATATGTAAAACATTTTTTGTGGGCTTCGTGAAAGATTGTTGAATTTCAGCTCTCCCATTTACCATAATTTTTTTTAAATAATAAAATAATTACTTAGTAACTGGAAGCAAGCAGGAATGAATTTGGTAGATTTTTGATCAAATGCATTTAAAAGCTGCGTGTTTTACTCTCTTTATTTTGCACATAAAGCCAAATAAATGCGATGAGCTTATAGTTGCGCTTGCATAGTTATTAAAATTTAAACCTACAAAATACTATTCAAATAAAAGTGGACGTCGCAGCGTGGTTGTTAATAAAAATTAAGTTTTAAACATAAGATAAATTTAGCTGACTTTAACAGTACTACAGAATTTCATTCAAAATCTTTCGGCCGAATGACGTCACACTTGTATTTGACGTTCTCAGAGAGCGCCGCATAACGGAGCTGCGCACTGCTCAACCTTTTGTGCGTAGCGGATCATGATTTCGACATTCTTATAAGCAGAGAACATTCGAACACAACAACAGTTGTCGCTTGCCGGCTGTTTGCAACGCACTCGAAATAAGAGGTCTCCGCGTAGCATTGCTCTTTGCGCTCGTCGTTCGGTTGTTATGTTGTCGTGGGCGCGCAACGGACCAATAATAATTAAATAATAAATAAGGAACATTGCGATTAGAAGAGAGTGCGTGCCGTTTAAGGAGTGTGTGCGTTCCGGGCAACGGGCAACGATTCAACAAGAATTGATGTGCGATGGCGCTGGAAATAACAAACTCAATATTATCGCTGCAGCCAGCAGTTGAGGCTGAAACACTGGCGCCGCAGTCATTCCACTGGCAGCTCGAGGATTACGCATACTTTCACAAGTGCGGAGAGATAACCAGCTCGCCGGACGTACAATGCTTTGGCTTCAATTGTGCTTTCTGCCCGGCGATTTGCCTGCAGCTATCGGTTTTCATCGATCACATACGCGGCCAGCACATGCAGGACATGCGCCGGCGCTACGAGGGCGCCGATGAGAAAATCGAACAAACAACGCAAACAGACTTCAACTTAATGATAAGGGACATGCATCGGGAACAAATGGACACAACTCCAGCTCTGACAACTGCAATGGCCACAACAAATACGCGCATGGACAAACGCGCAAAGAAACCGAATTGGAGCGAGGCGCAGGGCGCGGGGCTCTTAGACATGGGCCTGGACCTGGGCCTAGACCTGGTTAACATGGTGCAGGCCCAGGGGCTGCCAAAGACAAGCAACAACAATGCAACGTTATTCCAGCTTGGCAACACGAACCCAAAAACAACAACAACAACAACAGCAACGTCGACACCAGCCGACCTGGACTTCGTTTATGTTATGGAAAATCCATTGCCACCCTCGCCCCCACCATCGGCTGACATTTCGAGTGACGGGAACAGTCCGTCGCGACTGCACCAGCTACATCCGTTCGAAATGTTGCACGAGGCGGTCTCTTCAGTCGAGCACACGGCCACACCCACGCTGTTCGAGGCGGTCTCCAGAGGCGGCCACACTGGCGTCGCACCGCCCCGTTATGAGACGCGGCGCGTGGTAAGTTAATCGCCGATTCTTGGCCCTGCTTTGTCCCTACCTTCATTTAGTTGCCGTTGTCAACGTGTTTTCCCTTTTTTATGCGATTCCGCAAGGCGAAAAAGGGGTTTCCGTTGTTTTGGCCTTTTTTTTTTTTAATAGGCCCGACAGCGGCCGCACGACCTTCAAAATAACGGCGCATTAGCGGCAATGGCGGCAGCAGCAGACGCAAAATACTCAAAACTGTGTCGCATTTCTTGGATACCCTGTATCCATGCAACAAATGGGGTATGCTCTGCTGGTACTCAGCTGATGAGCCTGACATTGAGCTATAAAACGTTAATCTTCACAAAGTTTGGGATCGAAATAATTATATGTGTTTTGCAATATTAGTAACTTATTTAATATTTAAGAGTAAAACTATGACAACTTTTAGTTACATTTATTTGGAATTAAAGTTTAAAATAAGATAGGGTATAGCATAGTCGAGATTGGGTCTTGTCGCGTTCATTACGTATTTTTTATGTCCCCGTTTACCCGTTTATCCCGATATTCAACTTGGGGTAGCTATGGCCAGGTAGTGACAGTGGAGGGGGGGGGGGGGGGGGGGGGGGGTGCAGACAGTTCATCATCATCTTCACGAGGGTATCGCTATTTTTACTTGCAGGCTGCGCGGCGCAGTTTTTTTTTTTTTTTGATTTTCTTTGGATTTTCACTTGTTTTGGTTTCGACAAATTTTTTGTGGAAATGAAATATATATTTTTGACGCCAAGAGCAACAAAAGCAACGACAACGGAAAAGGCAAACGCAACAGCAACAAAAACAAACTTTTATTTTTCAAAGCGAACACATAATAATTTATGTGCTAACAAAATAAATACAACAGAAACGTGGAAAAAGCCGGCGATTTGGAAGTTTCTTTCTATGCTTGAGTATAAAAACGAACTGTTTTTTATCTATATATATATATATATATATATATATATATATATATCCATATATATACATCTTGTCACTAGTAATTAAACTAAATTGCAATTGAATGAGATTCAATTACAAAAAATGGTTCCAGCAAAATATGAACTGATTTTCTAAATGCAATTAAATTGCAATATATATGTATACGTAAATATATGGCCTTTAAATCTTAGGTAAAAGTTTGCTAATTAATTAAATAATAATTTTTGCTTCTAATTATATTGCAAAACGATCTGATATATTTATGTATGTGCGAGTAGGATGTGAAAAATCAGAAAACGTTTAGTTAGATTTGCAATTGTTTACATTATATATATTTTTGATCAATATGACAAGTTGATTCGCTTTAGCCGTTTTTATAGATACGATCCCAGAAACTTCGATCTTGATTATTTACATAAACTAAAAGTATAGTCTTTCAATAGCGAAGTTAATCGTGCATTTCCTATATTGGGTGCAGGGTATCTTGCAGTTGACTACTCCCGACTGGAGCAGTCCCGTTTTGAAGTGCATAATAACTCGCGCCTCGCATATTAGGCCCGCGCACTTCGTCAACTCGCAGCAATCGGGTATATTCGTTCCATTTCTTCAAGTGTTTCATTATGTCATAATTGAATGGACATGAATAAGTTTATTATAGCACATGCGACCCGAATTTTGGACATGTGTCTGGCATAAATAGTGTTTATGTGGACGAATATATATTTTGTATATTGTATATACACATGTCATCCAAAAAGTTTACGATTTTGTTTCTTTCTGTAAATAAGTGCGGCAGTATAAATATTCAATTTAATGCGCGTTTAATTTTTGTGCCAAAAGTGAATTTCGTTGAGGACTGGAAAACTGCAGTCAAGTGGGGTTAGCTTGTAAAATTCACAAATAATTTGTTTTATTTAAAGACCACGACATGGAAGTGAATTATTTTCACATGTTTTCACTTGTATCTTTTTATTCAATATACATTGTGTATATTGCATTGTCTGTCTTTATTGGAAAAATGAATGCATATTTATATGCGGGCACGTATGTAACATATAATATGGGATTGCCGTCATATATCGTAGCTATGCCTATGGAACTGTTGCTATTTTTATACATTCCCAGTCTATCGCTTAGCCCCCCCCGCTCCCAGCTCGAATCCAATGTCGATATCAGAGAATAGAATCGACGGAATAACAGAACGGAACAGAAATACAAATGTTGATACTGTTCCAGACAGGCTACACACAAAATGTGTCTATGCAATTACGAGTAATAGTACTCTTTCATCGGGGCTCTTTTCTTTTATTTTATTTTATTCTATTTTATTTGATTTTTTTTTTTTTATCAATACGGGCAAGTCTGGGGGCACAGTTGCCCGCTTAACGTTGACGTTTCTATTATCTATAAACCGAGAAAGTAAACAACCAGGCAAATTATCTATGCTTCGATTAGGCGACATTATATACACTATGCACAGTGGGACCAGATCGCTGTAAACTGACATCAATTAAATTTATTTATTATTATTATTATAATAATATATAAGAACTATCTTCTGTAGGGCCTTCGACTGAGACAATACTAAGTATATACATATATGTATTCAACCTTTGATATAGTGTCGATGCAATAAATCCTAAATATATGGCTTATTATCTTCGAAAGTTTCAGTAATATTCTGCTAATTCGTTTCGTTTTATATGCTTCGTTATCTATGAATTATCTTCAAATACCTCCATAGGTAATTTCACAACATGCACCTGATTGTTTTTTCTTTAAATACTTAAGAAAGTATTGTTTTCTGATATCTCCAATGCGCATCGCTCTTCAAATTATCGATCTATAATAATAGAACAAACATCTCGAACAATGACGTGATTTGATGCACTTGAGATCAAAATCCCAGATCATACGACACCATACAATCCCATTTCAATCAATAGCGAATCTTCTAGCCAGCACTTTTCGGCGATAGCAGGGCACGTCGTGGGTAATAAAACAATTTCGATTTTTGTCGATGTTTGTCAGTTATTGAAACAGCTCAAAAGATAAGGCGAACGGGCTGCCCAGTTCCCCCATGGGCCTAAGGAGGTTTTAATGTACATTTAAACACCAGTAAATTGGTATTTTTAGAGCACTTGTCATAAAACCTATCGCAACGTTTCGATTGGAACGCATAAATCATTGGCCGACTGAAGCATTGAAGTGTGGAAATCGTAATATGATAGCCCATTTTTGAGAGACGCTATAGATTAGAGCTGGATCTGCGAAACCGAAAGCACTTTTAATTCCTATGATAATATAGTCTATATCCTTTTAACATTTGGATCAAATATTGCAGTCTAGAGCTTTCGCACTTGCCAAAATCAGTGAAATTCGTACCCTCGAAGAACTGTGAAAGATCTTTGAAAGTGAGTTTGAATCCGATCGAATGATAAACAAAAAAATACCAAACAATCGTTTCCCAACACTTTCCATCACATAAGATAACTTTCGCACACTAGAAATTCAGCTCTTACCGTTTTTTGGATGAGACTTACAATTCAAATTTACATTATAATATGCTTAGTAAGTTATTGTATTACAGTTTTCTGCAGGGTGTTTGTCAGTCGAGCAATCTTAAAAATAAAAGAATTATTACTTGTTTTTCATGTTCGAATCTATCGTTTTATGTGCACGCTAATGGTTATTGTACAAAAATTGAATAAAAGCTAAACAAATAACTCAGTTTTTATCAGCTGCACTTATTAAATAATTAGCATGTTTAATTAAACATTTATTTAGCAAGCCTTCAGTTGATTTCCCTTTGCTTTTTTGATAGCCGCTGGTCTTGGGCCCGATTCCACCCACACCTGTCTCGGGGCCCTGATCGATCAGCTGATTTATCGTCTCGGCTTTATAATCAGTCTAATTAAATTACGGCCGCCTTGTGACTGACTGACTGACGAAATTATTTGCTTATACTTAGTTTTAGTTTGCGACTCGTCTGCGGCAAAAAGAAGTTAATACGCCGCATTAGGGGACCAGCCGCTGGCAGAAATTGATTGCATCGAATACTTAGCGTATTATCTCTGATTTTGACTCGAGTCGTGCAAGTGCTGTGCTATCGGCCCAGGTAGCCTCTGGATCGATGGCACGTAATAGACAAGGTGTTGTGTGCACGTGTCTCAAGACCTTACCTTAAAAATGTTCCCTGTACAAATGGCGCGTATAGGGTATATCAGGGGAAAACTTAAATCGTTTGCAAGTATATGAATAATAAATGTACAAATTTTCGTAGCTCGCATTTTTTAGTTATATAATTCTGCAGTTGCGTGTTTGGCAATTTTCAGGGTATTTTGTAGTCCGTCTATTGACCCTTTTTAGTTTTGCTCGGCTCTTGCATGTCTTTTGGCCTTTTACGCTGTTTGTTTGCGATTATCATATGAACATATATTTAATTTTTTTTTATGGCACGTTTCCCTATTTTGTTTATGTAGCATACAAATGAGCGCCCGAGTGCTGCGTGCCACAAGATGGGGCAACTAGTTTTTCATTCTGCAAATGAATATGCATTTAAATAATAAAATTGTAATTTCCGGGTTCGTATCACAGGCAAAGAACGTAGATATAATAATTATCATAATTATTATACAAATAATAATCATTTTCATTTTAATTCCAAGCACTTTTTCTATCAAATTTCGTTGCTATTTGAGTAACAAATCTTTTTAAGTCTGCATTTAATCAATCAAACTGAAGCAAACGTTCAGCTTTTAAATAAAATAATCAAAGTCTTAAACTTTTTAATGCATTGACATCGTGTCTGTATTCAGGCCAATGTTTTATAATGGCATTAAACGTGTATTAATGGCATTACCATGAATCTTTTATTTGCACTCGGCCATAACACATGCAGACATAAAAGACAAGGCCAACCTCCCACAACACCTCGCAACTATTTTCACGGATTCCGCTTAGCGAGCGCGTTCTAATTGCCACGCCCACTTGGTTTCGACTGGAGGGTCGTCTCTGTTGCCTCTGGGCTGGGGCGGCGCTTTTCCATCTGATAATTAACA